CTCATTGTCTGTGGGCACTTCTGGAGCTAGCTGCTTGTCAGTCTCCTCCTCTGACTCCAAATCTGAGCCCACCATGGCAGACTGTGGTATAGAAATGTAATAAATAAATAAGCAAATAAGCAAATAAATAAATAATCGTTTTAAAGATGGTTCTGTCAAATAGCCATGGTGTTGTTTCTATAAATGGGCACTGAACTGTTTCCCATTATAGGCATTCATTATCCATTATAGGCGGCCATTACTATTAGAAAACTATAATTGAGTTTTTATTTTGTATTTTTTTTTCTATCTTTCTGTTTGTCTGTCAGAAACAGTTCGTACCAGATATCTGTGACGGAATAGACTCAGGACTGAGGCACCTTTTAGATTACATACAGAAAACGTGCAGGACAATGCAGAACGAACTCTCAAAATGGTACCCACAGAATGAGGTGATGTGGAAGTAATTTTTTTTTTCAACATCTTGGGGGAAGCATATTTTTAAGTCTATCACAAATTTAATAATGTTTTGACAAGCTTCACCTTGATTTTATTGAGAATTTCTAGAATATGTTGGCTGCTCTCATATACATACCTGCATTTTCGTAAATAATTGCTGATTGGAATTTTTTTGTTTTTGGTCTTATTATGACATCTATTATGTCATACAAAAACATATAGCCATCCGTACATGGGAGAGGAAAGCTATCTATTGTAAGGTAAACTTACAATACCCAAGACTTGGGTATAAAGGCCAATATGGTCTGAGTGGTGTGCTGGACACCCAAACAATATGGGGGCCGAGTCAAAGAGTAACTCACATCCTTATCAGCACTTAGTTATATTACTACAGTGTAACTACAGTGTACTTTTCATGGGGCTGCCTTTAAAAACTACTCAGAAGCTGTACTTGGTCTAAAGTGCAGCAGCTACTTGGGGCCAATAAGAGCTGTTATTCACTATAATAATTGTGCTTCGGTTTCTGCACTGGCTACTAATAGGTTGCTGGGTACAATTCACAGTGTTAGATTTGATCATAAAAGCCTTACATGGCTTGGCACTCATACACCTGTAGGATTGTCTACTTCAAATAGATCCTACCTGTCTTGGTGCACCTGTCCAGTGCACGTGTGGATCAGGGAGGGTGTGCAGCGGTTCATGAGAAGTGTCATGCAAGTCAGGGAGGTTGTGATGGAATGGCATGGGACTGGAAGGGGGGTAAAGAACTTGATCTTGTCTCCAGAGCAACGCACTGGAGATAAGAGGCGAAAGCTGACGCGCCCCTAACATTCCAGGAGATAGTGAATTCCTGTTCCTGGGAACTAGCCGGCAGTCTGAGAAGATCCTGTAAACAAGCACTAGCTAATAAACCTTGCTGATTGAACTTGCACGGTCTCCAGGAGTTCCTTGGGCTAGGCCCGACAGAGGTTGTGTGAGAGGTGCTGCATGGGTTGGGGGTGCATGGCAGAGTGCAAGAGGTGCCATGCGGGTTGGAGAGGGTATATGAAAGGCACCACACGGGTTGGGGAGGGTGTATGAGAGGTGCCATGGAGGTTGGGGACGGTGCGTGGAGGTGTGGCGTGGGCTGGGGAGGGTGCATGGGGGTGCATGAGTGGCCAGCGCAGCGTGAGCACAGAGGGGCTGGGGAGGGTGGCCAGGTTGGGGAGATTTACCCCAGCAACCTGCAACCTTCCCTGCTGGCTTCCCCATTGATTTTCTAAGGAAGATGGCAGGGAGGATTGCAAATGGCAGTCATGTGATCATGGGGTGCTTGGCAACCTGTAAGTGCGAACGGGTTGCCAAGTGTCCAGATTGCGATCACATGACCACGGGGGTGCTGGGATGGCTGTAATTCTGAGGACCAGTCATAAGTCCCTTTGTTCAGCGCCATCGCAACTTTGAATGATCACTCAACGAATGGTTGTAACTCGAGGACTACCTGTAAAGTGTTCATATATCTTGGTTTGTCGAACAAAGTGTTACAGATTGATTGATTTAATTTATGCATTAATCTACTTCTGTACCACCCTGTTCTGCAGTTCCTCCAGGTGCTTTACAGTTACTAGGGTTGGGCTATACATGATTGGGAAATTATTTGGAAGAATTGCTTTGAACCTTAAACAAGCCCAATACCTCTCTAATATTTATTAAAGCAGCTGAAAACAGATGCAGCTGCTTTAAGAGTTACATTAAAGAAGGGCTGTTTTAATCATTCAAAATATTAACTGCTTAATATTTTCTTTTCAGGTTCAGAATCAAATGAAGAATAAAGCAACTGAATTGGCTAAATACCTTGAAGAGATTGTGTCTGAGTGTAAAAAAGTAAGTAAAAACTACTTATCTATTAAATTTTTCACCACAAGTTGAAATGAAATTTTGTTCTCACTATTCTGTTGGAATATAACATTTCATAATATTATTGACACATGCATAATGACACATTCATTTTCCAGCATTTTTTACATCTTACACTTCTTAAGTGTAAATGTAATGGCCACAGAAACATTATTTAGTACATTACATTGACATTTACCGGCTTAAGTAGTTCTCAAATATAGACTTATTCTTTCAAAAGCAGTGTTTTAATCTTCTTGAAAACCCTTTATTCATACCTACAGAATGAAGTAGCAAATCTATTAAGAGAAGAAGAATCTGTTGACCAAGAGTTAAAGAAGGCACATGATAAAGCTACTGAATTCTTGGAATTACATTATTGCTTAGATCAAGTTTACCAGATGATTATTCATTCATTACAAGGTATTTTTTATCATCCTACAAAGCCACTTCGAAAGTATGGCCACAAAGATGCAAGAACTAATGCTGGGATTCTCTATTTTGTTGTGATGGAAACTGGCTATCATCATTATCATTATCATTATCATTATCATTATCATCATCATCATCATCATCATCATCATCATCATCATCATCATT